TATCTTCCTCTCTCTCACATTCGACTTCTTTCCTTTCGCTCTTTTCAATCTTTTTTTTCCTTCGTCTTTCATTCGTTTTTTTTTCTTGTGTTCTTCTCGGCCAGATGAAGGTCTTGTTGATCGTCTGTTACTCTGAGAAGAAATGTTATTGGGCCCAGCAGAATGTTTGTTTCAGAGCCCAGAGAAGAAGGAAAAACGACATTCTGAACAAGTAAAAACTCACTTGTAACAGCTTTGAAAAATCCTCCGGTAATGATGATTGAGAAACGTCTGATTTTGATTTTTCTGTCTTTTCTCTCTGTGTCTCTGGCTCTCACCTATTCCTCTAGCACTTCTCTCCTACCTAACCTCTATCACTTTATGGCTTTTTCATAGCACAGCTTACTCATTTATGTTTAATCGTCGTTATGAAGTAATTAGCCTTTCTCAGTAGTTGATGTCTAGCCATCTCTCTTCCTCTTTCTCACATTCTTGCTCTCTCTTCCTCGCACACTCTCAATCTCTCCTTTTATTAAGATGTCGGACTATCTCATTCAATGTTTCGGCTTGTTCTCTATTCCCCTAGTTAATCTTGACATTTATCTGAAAATAACCCGATATGGACTCTTGGCTTTTCCGAGTTATGGAAGTCATCTCTCCTACTCTTCCTCTTCCACTCTGTCTCTCTTTCTCTCTCTTCACATTGTCTTATCTTGGTTTTCCGTATTGAATTAATCATTTCCTTTCAAGACCATTCCTATTTGTGTTTGAAACTGTTACTGGTCATCGAAAAACCCTTCGTAATATTGAGTTATGAAGATGTGGTCTGTTTTCGTAGAACAGACTGTACAAGGGAAGAATCCGAGTGAAACTATATGTATGAAACGAAAAAAAGATAGATTTGCGAGGGACTGGATGTCTGACCAGCTGGATTGACCGGCCAATTTCTTGTCGATTATGAGCGTTTCGATGTTGGCTGTAAATTTTTAACTTATTTCTTCTATTCATTCTTACACCTCAGAATGTTCTCGTGAATTTTCACGCAAAAACCAACGTGAAAGTCGATATGGAACTCTATGAGCGACTTCGCTTATTTTCATTTTTTTGGGCGTAATGGACGGTTGTGTTTTCTCTCTCTCCACTCTCACATCGTTTCTCACACTTTTCATACCTCTCTAACTGCTACTACACACTCCTAATCTGTATATCTCTATGACCGCCCGCTTGTTCGCTTCTCTAACACGCTTTAACTATAATATTATAATTATAACTTATCTTGTAAGCTTTTCTCACCTCATGACCCACATTTCATATAAGTTTCTATTATTTCGCACCTTTCACGTCTATTCCTCTAATTTCATAAATGATTTGTTCAAAAATAGTTCAAACTATTTTATTTATAGTTTGAATACGTCTGAACATGTCAAATGAAGGATTTTCTATTTTCTTTCGACTTAAGCTTTTTGGCTGCCAAAACCTTGTACTTGGATAGTCCTTTTTCTTTCTTATTTATTCCTCTTTTTCTAATTTTTTTTCGCCATTTTACTTCTCTTTTTCGTTTCTAATTGAATTATTTAAATTTTGGGAGAAAAGGGAGGGATTATCAGCTTTCTTTTACTTTTGTATTTTACCTTTCCATGCAGGATATCAAAAGAGAGGCGAATAGCAAGACATGAAGTAGAGAGTGAGAGATGGCTAGAGAGTTAGGGAAGGTAGAGAGTTAGACAGAGAGAGAGAGAGATAGAGAGAGAATGTTGTCCTTCCACCTGTTTATTGTTGGCTGTTGATGTTTGAATGAACACAAAATAAAATACACGGCTGGTCTTCTTCAGTTTCTTCTTCGCCCGTTCGTTGATGACATTACTTCTCGTTTTTCTGAGATGATTTAGAGATTGAAAAGCCTTTGATACTCTCCTCCATTTCATATTCTAATTACAAAGAAGTTGAGAGCATATTGGCAAAAATCATTCGTAGCCACAAGAGCAATTTCCATTGATTTCGATTGTCTTTCTCATACACCCTCTTCATTTCATGTTCTCAGTTTAACCTTTTCATTTTTTTAACGTCTTTATCATTTTATTTTAAACTTTCAATTAATCTTTTATGTCTCGTCGATCCGACTTTCACATGTTTCTGTTGCTTTTCTGTTTCGTTCATTCCTCCTCTCTTCATCTCTCTTTATCTCTGTCATTCTCTTTTGAGGTTGTTTGTTGAGAGAAAGAAATGAGAGAGTCTGCATCTCCTCCTTCTTCATTATGATTCACTTTTTTCTTTTTCTTTTCTCTTTTTTTTTTGTTTTCTTCTCTTAATATTATTTTTTTTCCTCTTTTCTTTTCATATCATCGCCTACTTTGCTACTTCACTCATGACCATAAGTCGCTGCTTTGAATTTTAAAGTTTTTTGAGCTTTTTCATCTCATTCACATATCGTATTTATCTTTGCATTCATCTGCTAGGAAGAATTTCATCTTCAAAAATGGCTGAGAAGTCTGTTGGAACTACTTGTTACGAATCATTTTTATTTTTCCACCAAGTTTTGCGATTCGTAAGGAAGATATTCGCTACTTTAAGCATTTCTTGTGTTTTCATGAAGGAAAGGAACTTTCAAGGGAACACGTACTTTTTGGGAAAGAAGAAGAGGAAAAAGATTCTTTTTTTTCTTCTCCTTCAAAGGCTTCTGAAACTATGAGCAGTCTCATAATTACTCTTTTAATCTGTCGCTCCTCTCTCTGTTTATCGCGCTCACTCTCTATCCTCTTCTCTTCTCTTTACCTAATTTCTCGTATATATGCAATTGGAAGAATCTTGTCACACAGTTTATTTCAGCCGTTAAGAGGATATTATAATGAAAGTCTTCTGGCTTGAAGCAAAACGAGAAATCTTCCAAACATAAGAGAATTAGAGATGAAAAGAAAAAAGAGTATGAGAAAGACAGTGATGAAAACAGAGAGTATGATTTGACGCTTTCTGTTTTTGGGATAGAAAGATGCTGTTCTGAACGAATCTCCACTTATCGCTGTCTCTTCATAAATTACACTATTTCTTGTCTGTCTTAGCTATATGTCTGTAATAGAGAAAGAAAAGATGATGAGAGAGAGAGAGGAAGAGAAAGGAAGTGGGAGGGAAGTAAGAGTTGTCCGGGCATTGGTCACCTGGCACAGCCCGACTGGGGGCCGTCAATGTGAGTGACCTCAGTACAGAGCGGTGAACAACGCGCTCACATACACGCACAACATGATGATAGAGATGAGAGAGAGAGAGGATGTGTGACTATAGAAAGAGTAAAAGTAAGAGATGAGAAGAAAAAGAGAAAGAAGAGTAAACGAAAGATTCATAAGAGTTAGATAGTCAGAGAAAGGAAGGAAACGCAAAGAGTATATAAAAGTGAGAGAGACATTCCCGGCCTTCTGTCGGTCCTCTTCTTCTTTGGCTGTTGGATTCTTGTTTCTTGATTGCTGTCAGTAGCTCCATGTGTTGTTTCTAATTGTCATTTAAATGTTTTTTCCTCAACTCTTTGAAAGTGTCGAATTATTTGAAAAGTTGTAAAATCTCACCTGAAAGCCAGAAAGTTCGAATTTTCATGAAGCTTTCCATTAATTTGTTTGTCTTCCTCTAACATGAGATGAATAGAATTACCAAATGAACTGTTTATCCCTTAATCGATACCCCCGAACCACCCCAAATAAGCAGCTTTTAATTGGAAATTATTATTGATTGAATGCAAATAATGAAAAGTTTGTTTTAAAAGCGACTTTTCATTTTCTAATGAAGAATCAAAACAAAAAGCTTTTCACGGAGCAATAGTTCATGAGAAACTTTCATTCTTCTCTCCCTTTTTGCCTGAAAAGTTACCTTAAAAACATATCGCCGAGCTTTTGCATCATTTTTTCCTTTTTGCGGATGAGAAAGTCATCATTTCATAGTTTTCCTCTTCATTCCTATTTTAGCCTTCAATCTTTTTCCTTTTTTTTTCCTGCAAATTGTCTCTTCTTTCTGCCTGTATGTCTGCATAAGCTATTCTCTCTCTCCTTGTCTTACTCTCATGCTCTCGCTCACTCTCTCTTTCTCTCTCTCATTTCACCTTTATCCAACCAAAAGATGACTGAGAACCCGGAAGGTTAGACACTCACATTCTCCTCATATGGTCAATGTCTTATCTACTCTTCGTCTCAATTAATGTTATTTATATCATTAATTATATGGTTAATTGATATTCAAATGGTTTTCAAAATAATGAGAGACAGACAGAGAGTTTTCATTTCAAACACGCAGCATAGTTTGCAAAATAAGATTTTGAATATGAGCTTTTCTTTTTCAAGTTTTCTACTTCTTCTTTTTTTCTCGCCGTTCCAAGCTATTCTCCTTCTTTTCTATATCAATGTCATTTCCCTCTTCTTATTCGTTTAAATCTTCTTCTTCTTCTTCTTTTTTTTTCTTCAAACATCCTTTGCTGTACATTAATGTCCCCAGGGCTTACGACGGTTGTTGATTGTCCTTGAACTATCTTCATCACTTCATCTACTTATTACGTTGAGTTATGGAAGATTATTTATGTATTTTTAAATAATTTGCTTGTTTCTTTTGTTTTTGATGAAAGAAAACGAATGCATACTCTGTGCTATTAAGGTCAATTCTCTGACTTTCTTTCAATTAAATTAGATCTTCTTGAGTTGTTGACAATTTGCCATATCTGCATTGAAAATGCTTCATTAGCATCAGAGCTTATGTAAAATTAAAAATTTTGCCATTTACTATATGTGTTTTCATAGTTTCATTCTCACTTCGTTTCCACACTACGACATTCACACGTAATACTCAATTACACGTGAAGTTCCATATTCTTCTTTCTATCATTTTACTTGTTCAAAAATAGAGAAGCGGTTGTTTCTTTATAAAACTTCTCATACTCTTTATTCTTTTCTTTCTTTCAGAATCTTTCTCTCTTTCTGTTCTTACAAACTCATATGTGGTACTCTCTTTTTTAGTCAATTTATCTTATTTAAATATTCTTTTTTTCCAGAATGCCCGCAGAGGCAGACAGACTTCGTCGTTCGAAAAGAAATAAATTTTTTCTTCACGTTTCGCCGCACGGTACGACTGACCGCCGAAGAACTCAACCTGTAAATATTTCTCTTTTATTTTTCTCTTATTGGAATGATGATTTTTAAGGCTTCCAATTCTTCACCTGTTAGGGAAGAACCGCAGTCTCGAGCACAGTCAGCAAGCCCAATGAGGGCCAGTTCATCAACTGTCAGTTTAATATTCTATGTTCTAAATTCTTCATTGCAAACTTATAGCCCATTGATGACGAGAGCAAAAGACCAAGACGTGCCAACCGCAGTTCAAATTTCTATTACGAAGATGATTCAGAAGAGGAAGATGTAAGATTTTTTTGAATTTTTTCGTTTATAAAACATTTTTTCGTGTAGGACAGTCGTGTTTGTGGAATGTATGGAGTGCACAAATGTAATAAATGTCCATCTCGATTCGAAACTCGCCCAGGATTAGCAAATCATATGCGATTACATGGAGGTAATTTCTATAACAGATTTGTTTATTAATTACCATTCTTCTTATTTAAAGGGCTGAATCGTAAAAATACTTGTAAAGATTGTGATTTTTCTTGTGGATCTCTGAAAGCTATACGTAATCATATTAAATGCCATCGCCGGTTAGACAAGGAGGTAAGATTATATTTTTTCTTCTCTTCGATCATACTTCTGTTCCAGGCGACTCCTACACATAGTGATACTCGCAGTGAGGATAGTAACAATTCTCCTCCTAAATTAACTCCAGAAGTACATAAAGATAATGTTGAAATGAGTGACACAAGCCCACCTGAGCTGAAAGGTATGGTTCTCCTGCTGATCTTTTTCATTTGTCTCTTTTGCAGTTCCCGAAAACCTTATAATGGAATCCAATGCCAAAAAAAGTGATAAACCAGTGGCTAAAGTGAATAAGGATACTCCTCCAAAGATTTCAAAGTTGATCAACAAAATCATAGAGTGCGAACACTGCCCTTTCAAGAGTAGAAACCAGTGTCGTATGAAAATTCATACCGAAGGACATCGTAAAATGACAGGCTTCCGATGCCATAGGTGCTCTATGACAGTTTCTAATTGTGGACTTTTGAAACTTCATATAACCCGTGTTCATCAAGAACATTCTGATTTTCAATGGCCACCAAAGTACTTCGTTGATGGTGTTGAACAAGCTAATGGTCCAGTAGACGTTCCAAAAGCTTCAGCTGAGAAACTAGAAGACAAGCGGAAAAGAAGAGCTCGACTGTTCCCTCGTGATGGCAAACGGAAAGATACAAAACTATACTGTCCGGTCGGAGATTGCACATATTATTGTTATACGGGCAACCAAATGGCAACCCACAAATACTGTCACCACCCTCAGAAGGTAGGGCTTATTGTTCTAGATCTGAGTAAACCATTTATTGCAGACCAGTCTCAAGAAATACCACTGTGTTACATGTGGAATGGGATTTGATCACCGCGGAAAGTTAGTTTATCATCGATTACGAGCTCATCCAAGACGTAAACTTCATCCTCGAGTAAAATCCATGTTGTTCGAAGAAGCCCGTGGACGACATTTCCTCAAAGGGTATCATTTAAAAACACATTCTAGTTTTTATTCTTTCTTTCAGAATTTATAATAATTCTCGAGCTCAAGCATCCCAGGATATCGCTGCGTTGGAAGAAACTGCGACATCAGCATCTGTTGATCCAGTCAGTACTATCACACCATCACCAGTTCCGGAGCCTATGGATGCTATCCAGCTCATGAATGTTCAGTCTAGCATTGAAACTGTAGTGAATGGTGGCAACGAGCCTGCAACACCAATTTCTACTATAATCAAGCCTACTCCATTAGTTGCTGTCTCACAAACGGATCAGTCCGTGGCATCAGCCACTAATACGATTGTTCAAATGTCGAATCCAATGTTTAATACACCACAGGCCGTTATATCAGCTTCGCTATCGAGTCTAGCACAGGGTTCGCCACAAATCTCGGTCTCCACTATTGCTACTCCTCAGTTAGGTAGCAATGGTCATATTGGATTGCCTATCAACCAAGCAAATGCTCAGTCTCTACTAGCACATCCAGGAATGTCAATGTTCCACTTGCAAGGTTCCTTACAAGGACATATGATTCCTCCAATGCCTTCTCTGCCAAATGGTTTACATTTGGCACAAACAGGAGCTATGATGATGTCGGGAGCTAATAGCGCAATGTCTCAAATGCATCCGAACACACTGCAAAATTCACTTGCTGCTCCAGGAGCTCAGTTCTTGATGGCTCAAGGAAGTCCTCAGCTCGCTCATTCACAACTGATGCACCATCCATCTATGATGCAACAGATTTCACAATCTCAACCTCGCTTTGTCAATATCCCCACTTTGTGAGTTGCTTTAAGGTTTCACTCATTGTTATTCATATTATTTTCAGTTTGAAAGGTGTTTCTTGCGAGGTTATTGAAGTTGCCGAGCTGCCACGAATCCTTGATCAAGCTTTCAAGTGTAATCTATGTCCTTACAGTACTACTGCTAGAACTAAACTGGAAAAGCATGTAGCTAGGCATGATGCTCCTAGCGATATGAAGGTTCTATCTCCCTATCTCGAATGTTTCTTAATACTATTCTTGCAGTGTCCTATATGTACATATCAATGTAGAGGAGAGAGTTTTATGCAGCAACATTTCCGCACACACGTTGCTTTAATTCAGAGAATTACTCGTTTAACCATTAATAATCCCAATGGTGATATGGCTGCTTCGATTATGTTACCGTATATGGTAGACGCTTGTTTTAACTCAAAATCTCTAAGCCATATGTTTTCAGCCTCGGTATCATCCTGTCGTTCAAGAACTCACTGCTGCTGCAGCTATTGCAGTGGCTGGTAGTTTAGGGCAGTTTAATGCTAATATGCCGCAAAACATTTATCAAGTACCCCATGGTTTTCCCTCGCCAATCTCGGGCCCTTCTGTGTCCTCCGCTCCCGCAACAGTAGGAGCTGCTGCAACTGCTGCAGTGGCTGCCGCTCGTTTAATAAGAAACGATCGTACCACCAGTCAAGGAAATCGAAATAAACGTGAACGAACATTCGTTCCCGTCGTTCTGGTTTGTTATTATAGGTTTCCAATGTTAATGTTTTGTTATTTACAGCCTGATGGAACAAGGTTACGTCGTTGTCTAGAGTGCCCGTATGTGTCTAAGCATTCTTGCGATATTTCAACTCATTATCAAATGCATTTATCAGCTCCCCAAAAGTGAGTGTTTCTACTTCTTCCTTTATATGTCTTAATATTTTTTTTAGATTCCGCTGTAGCCAGTGTACTTACTCAACTAAGCGATCAGTTTGTCTGAGAGCTCATTTCGAGCAACATAGAGCTCAGAACGCCAGCGAGGTATTAGAGAAATTTTTTTCCAAGTGTATTCTTTTTTTTAGTCAACCGCCCGCCCACTCACGTTAAAAATTAACGGGGTTCTAGTTGGGATGAGATCTGGTACTGGAAAACTCAGAATCTACTCATGTCGACTCTGTCCATTTGCTTCGCGAACTATTTCAGCTCTTTGGCGACATTCCCGGTAAGATTTTTTTCAGTAATGAAATACATACTTACTTCGTTTAGAAATCATATTTTTGTTCGCAGTCCTGCGTATCGTTGTCCCAGCTGTGATTATTTCGGATCTAAAGAAGTTCTGGAGCAACATGTTCTTCTCCACTCGTCCGAAGTGCATCCAATACTCCTACGTTCATCGCAGACACCTCCTTCTCCAGCGAAACGGTTTTCGATATTTTTCGTAGTTTGAGAGAACTGAAAATGTTTTAGGGAAAATGGTGAAGTCGTGACACCTATCTCGAACAAGAACCTGACGAAAACCAAGAAATCATATAGTAGACCATCAACGGAACCAAGTAGTAAAGTGCCAACACCTAAATCCGCTACTCCTCCTCCTCCGAACTTATCGCCGGCTCCAATTTTAACTAAAATTGAGGGTGAAGTTGCGATTAAGGCAGAAGAGATTAAGCAAGAACTGTACGTGTTTTATCAATCAATCGTTTCATAATTTATATTGCAGTGAGGGTAATAAAGCACCTACGTTGACGACATCCACTTCCAGCAGAAATCTGAAAAATGCTGAAAGCGTCAATATGAAGTTCGATGACCCTCTTAGCATTGATATTCTGGAAGATATGGCAAACGTTCATCCCTTATTGGAACGATTACGAAAAGAAGAAAAATGCCAAGGTTAGTTTTGTCAAGTGAATATCTCAGTCGAACTAAACTTTCAGAAACTGGACAATGTCCTGATTGTCCTTATACGGATACTGACGAATTACTAATGAAAATCCATCGTGACATGCATTCCCAACCTCCCCGAGCACACCAGTGCGAGTTGTGCTCGTTCAGTTGTAGTACTCCTCAATGCCTGCACAGGCATATCTCACTTCATTTACCACCATTAAGCCCCTCTTCTCTGGCTGCTTTGAAGTAATTTCATTATTTTTTTCGTGTTATATGTATGTTTACCTTTGCAGACAGAAAAATGCTACAAGGAGGAGGTTCCAGCCACCTGAAACCATTCCAAACGGAGTCGCTGCTTACTCATGTTATAAATGCTCTTTCAAGACGATACATAATGATAAGCTAACTGAGCATGTTTATCAACATGTTGAAGACTACAGACGTCGGTTGAATACAACAACAAAGAGAGAACAATTGAACGAAGAGTCGAAGAAAATTAAAACTCTCCGAAGGAATGCTCGCAAATCAGACAAATTCGTATGCTTTCATTGAAAAAATTTTGGTTTATGAACAATTTTTTTTCAGTATTCTTGTGATCTGTGCTCTTTCCGATGTGAAACGATCACAGCATTCTCCAGGCATAATGAAATGCATTCCTTGAACGGACTTTACCGATGCTCGTATGTTACTATTAGATATCGTAAGCTTCAATGAGTGATTTTAGGATGTGCACCTACAGCGCATTTACGAAAAGTATTACAACTTTCCATGAGATGAATCATCACACTGATCATTCGTTAACTAATCTACAGAAAAGCGCTTTGCTCGCTCCGAACGCTATTCAGGTGATTATATTTCAATAAAAACTCCAAAGAAACTTGTATATTTACAGATGAAAGTCGAAGATCCCACCTTAGACCTTCATGAACTTGCTGGCCAAATTTTTAGTTGTGTTCGATGTAAAAACTTTTCCTGTCTAGGTATGAACAGTCTGATCAAATCCATCAATCATAACAATGTGTTCCAGAGAGCCGCGAATTAGAGCTACATTGGCTAGAGAATCATAATGACTCGCAAGAGGATAAAGATCGAGCGATGTTCATGTCGTTTAGCTTGTTTAGAGCCAATGGAATAGCCACAATCGCTTGAGTTTGATCGGATTGTTTGAATTATTGTTGTTTTAGAAGCCCGTTGAAAAGATATTCTTGAAAAGTATTACTTTAGTAATAAGACTTGTACTTATTAAAACCAAATCGTACTGTATATGTGCTTTGCCATTCATCTAAATTCAATATTTGTCTTTCTTTTTCCAAATATTTTCAAAATAATAATTGTGTAAAAATAATATTATATTCTTGTTCTTCACTCTCATCTAGCGGGTAGTTTTACTGTTTATACTTATTTATTTGAATTATTTCGATTCGAAACTGGAAAATAATAAACTTTTTTATGAAATCATTGTGAACATTGGTTTGGGTCAAATCCTCCTTTCGATTTTCTCAACTCAGCATCTGACATCATTTTTTTGTACTTTGAGCTTTCTCTTTAGAGTTTGATATGCTCTGTAAAAAAATACTGGTTGATCATCTATGTCATCTTATTCCCCTAGTATTGATCCAACTTTGGTGCACTCTAACTCCTGTTCTTCATTTTCATTCATTTTAATCTTTTTTTTGTTCTGTTGTGAGAGGCTTGGTTCA